TATAACTTATTAGTATTTTCTAGTTCTTTTATACTTAGTATTAAAAGTACTTTTATAGTAGACTTACTATAAAGTTGCTATAAAGTAGTTTATATAACTCTTACTTTATTTATCTTTACTATTTTTTTAGTAAAGCTTTTAACCTTTATATATATAGGTAAAAACTCTTTAATAATTATACTAAGTACTTATTAATATATAGTTATATTTAAGCTAAAAGTAGCTTAAATCTAGCTAGTTTTCTCTTAGTATTATTTTGCTTTACTTTAGAAAGTTACTATAGTATTACTACTTAGTAAGTACTTTATAGTAATAATAGTATTATAGCTAATAGCTTAGTTTATAGCTACTACTATATTAATAGTAGCTTACTCTTTATATACTTTTATAATAGTATTACTTTTTATAAGTACTTCTTAATATTATTATATTAAGACTAAAAGAAGAGAAAGAACTAAAGCTTAAGCTAAATATACTTAGCTATAATACTTACTTATAATTATAGTTTTTTAGTTATTTTTATAGCTTTTTTTACTACTATTATTATAGCTTTTTATAACTATCTTTAAGTTATAAAAGTATTATTATAGTTAATTATAACTTTAGCTATAGCTTAATATACCTCTATTTTAGTATATACCTAAATTATTACTTAAGCTCTTTTAAAAGTATTACTCTTTAAAATATAGCTTATAAATTTATTATATACTTCTTTTTAAGTATTATTAAGTTAGTCTTAAGTTATAAGCAGCTTATTACTACTTAGTTCTTACTTATTAAACTATTCTCTTTTTATATTTAAGTAATAGTAACTTTAAGTAAGCTTTTTATTACTACTATTAATAACTATTAGTATTTTCTCTACTGCCTTACTCTTAGTATAGCTACTATATAGTATTATAAGTAGAGGTAATTAAGTATAAGAAAAAAAGTCTTTATATTAGTTTATATTTTAAAGGCAGTCTTAAGCTAGTATAGTAGTGCTATAGACTAGAGGCTAAAAAGTTCCTTATATACTTATTATATATATATAATATTATTAAAAAGCTATAAGTAAAAAAGCTACTAAAGAAGAGTAATATTTCTTCTTATTAATAGCTTATAAAGCTGCTAGTAAAGTAGTACTATTATTTTCTATAATTTATTATAGAAAATATTACTAATATAAACTTATAGAATCTTAATACTTAATTTCTTTTAATTTAATATTTTTATAAAGTTAATTAAGCTAAGTAGTACTTACTTATATTAAATAGTATTAAAGAACTAGGAGGCAGACATAGTAACAGCTACTAATAAAGATTAGCAATTTCCTAGAGTTAGAGCTAGCGTAGAGCAGACGCAAAGTATATATATATAGATAATAAGTTCTAACTAAGTTTTAAGGCAATAAAGGTAGTAGCAGCAGTAATAAGAATAGTTCTAGTAAGAAGTTAGCTAGAATCTATATAGAAACTAAGCTAAGCCTAGCTAGATAGTAAGTAAAGCTAGTATATTAGTAAAATTTAGTATTTATTAAAAGTAAAAGGCTTAAAAGAGAAAGAAAAAAGAGAAGAAAGTTAAAAAGAGTTTAGCTAGCTTTATAGTTAGTAAAAGCCTAAGTTTAATATAGTAGCTATACTAGCTATAGCTAGCTGTAAAGCTAAGAGGTAATTTATATATATAATAAAAGTAAGGTAAATTTAAATATATAAGCTATTATAGCTAAATACTAGAGATTTATACTAGTAGTTATATAATAATATAAAGCTAAGCTAGTATACTTCTAAGAAAGTAATAAATAATATATTATACTAAAATAAACTATATTTCTAGAGAGAAGAGATAATTAGAAACTAAAGAATATAGTAAATAATTAAGTAGAGGCAGAATAGCTCTAGTATAAAGCTAGAGGCAAGTTAAATTTATAAGAGCTATTTGCCTCTCTAGAATACAGCTAGTAAAGCTAGTAATAACTATATATACACAGAAGACAAGCAAACTCTAGCTAGCATAAAGCTAGAGCTAGCCTAAGAGGCAAAATAAAAGTAGATAGAGTTTTTCTTCTTTCTATTAAAGAGTTTTCTAAGTAGTTTTCTAAGTTTAATATAAAAAGAAGATATACTAGTTATATAGCTTTATAGCTATCTAGAGTATTTAATATAATATATATTAAATAGTAAGGAAAAATACTAAAATTTATATTAAAATAATAATTAATTACTTTCTTAATTACCTTAACTAAGGTCTTAAAGTTACTACTACTAAGTTAATCTAAGTATTTATTAATTTATAATATAAGTAGACTTTATAAAGCAAGCTATAAGTTAATAATACTACTAAAGACTTAATATTCTATTTATATAGTAATTAAATAACTATATAAATAATAGCTAAGGTAAATTAATTAAAAGATAAGTAATAAAGCTAGATATTAAGGAAATTATCTCTTAAATATAGCTAAAAGAGTAGTAGTAGCTTTAATAAATAACTTCTTAGAAGCTAAAGTAGTAGCTATAGCTCTAGAATAATAAATATACTAGAAAGTAAATATATTAAATAAAAGTACTAGAAATTATATTTTTAAGCAAATTAAAGCCTACTTATACTAGCGCTATTAAAAAATTTATTTATATTAATTAAATACTTTTACATTTAATTAAGAGCAGCTTTAACTATATATATATATATAAAAATATATATAGAGGTATAGAAAGCTAGCTACTAGACTAAATTTAGATAGTAGTAGAGCAATAGTAGCCCTAATAGCAATTTTAGTAGCCCCAATAGCAATAGCCCTCTGGCACGGGCTTATGTCCCCTATTGCGCATCGCATTGCAGCGCATCTATTGCATCTCTTAAGGTCGAGCATAGCTCAGACTATAACATATAGTTATAAAAGCTTAATTTTCTTTATTTAGTTAAAGAGAAGAAAAGTTATTTTTAAGTAAATTCTATAGTAGAGCTACTTAATTAAATATAGCTAGTAGCTTAAAATAACTTTAGTAGCTTTTTATTCTATAAAGTAGTTTAGCCTTTATAGCTATTAGCTTTTTTACTAATTTCTAGCTAGTATTTCTCTCTTAGCTTTAATTATATATATAAAGAAATATAAGCTTAAAGCTTATTAGAATTTATATATAAAATATATATAATATTTTTATATAGGTAATTTATATATAATAGTTGTTTCCTTATTTTTTGTATATTTTTTTACTGTTAGTAGTATTTACTGTTATTTAATTAGCTATAAGCTAGCTTTTAGTAAGTATATATATTTAAAGAAAAGAATTTTCTACTAAAATAGAAAAATACTTAGAGATTAATATAGTTTTTACTACTAACTTAACTAGCTATAAAGTTACTATAAGTCTTCTATATAACTTACTGTCTACTCTGCTTAGAACACCCACCTTGACAGGTTTAACACGAGTCCTGTTTCTGAGACAGCAGACATGCCTGCATCTACATAGCCGTTGGAACAAAAGACGTAGGCCTCGAGCACGACAGCCAGGATCTCCCTCCGTCTCGGAGTAGTGCTGCTAGCAGCGCCTGCCCACCGTTTCAGTGCAGACGATGTGTTTATGCGATGAGGGGTCCTCGGCCGAACAAGGCGTGAATCCACACAAGACGTCGGCCTTTGGAGAGGATTCAGCCGAGTTGAGGGCCTGTCGTGTCTCGGCCGACTGAATCAAACGTTAGCGTCAGTGGCAGCTATTGCAGTGCATGTCTCTCGCGCCTAGTGCAACAATAAATATTAATAAATAGTTTAGGCTAATAACTCTATACGTGAGAACTCTTGGAATATTACTTCCAAGAAAATACAGCTAGAGCTATAAGCTGGTAGCCTCTATTACTTATAGAGAGCTTAGAGCACACTACATACTAAGTAAATAGTAGCTAGCTTTTCTGCGAGAGCTTGTTTGCCGGATATCTCCTTCAGATCCAAGTGGCCGCGTACCCATACTCCTCATCACTTTACCAGTACGTTTGTCATCGGCCTTGGGTCATCCGAAGTTGTCAAAGTCAGCACCTCCTTGGTCCTTCAGATTGAGGAACAAAGGACCTCAAGACTATACGATATTATGTGGCGGATGAGTCTTTACTGCAAGCCCCAGTCATTGTGGCCAGCTCTTGTTACATATGCTACCTGGCGAGCCTAGGTCTGTTCAACCGAAGGCGAATCGCCACGTATGCTGTACAGCAATAGACATGACATTACTTGTTCATGTGATTGCAAGTAAAAACTCTGGAACAGCTCACAAATGTCTCGAAATGGATTCCATTTTCAATAGCTAATAGTGCCAGCAAATCCTGCGGCCCCCCGCCTAAATCAAAACGAGTAGGAAAACCCTCGTGGGGAAGAAAAACCTTTCGCTTCTGTTGTCGGTTGCCTCATGGAACGCTGCATTTTGCCAAATTCCTTCTCCGCTACCCCGACCGTTGTGCCACTCGTTGCTTTGCGTGCCAAATGCACATGAATGTGCTATGCTCGGGCCTTTACCCAAAGACGTTCGGTCCCTCCGTCCTCAGTTTGATCATTCCATTGTCTTCCAATAATTTTTGTATCTTCTCCGATTCTTCCATGGCCGCTAGGCAATTATAATTCGAGCTGCTGTACTCCCACACTGTTTCGGTCGGATCTTTGCTCTCCCCTTTCTTATACGACATCTTATTCTCGTCCACGATTTTTTGGATCTCTTCGTCAAGAAATTCAAGAAGATCAGGATCTTCGTGTATAGAGAAAGAGAAAGTCTTTTGTATCTTCTTCCATGCTGCCTCCGCCTGTACTTGAAATATCAGCACCCGGATAAAATTGCCGTGCAACTCTTTAGACGACGCCAGGCCGGACGCTGCGAGACGCAGCACGATTTCCACCATGGCCATTTATTCCTCCCAGGCTGCAATAAAAGAGGGGTTCTTAGATGTCGCACTTACAGGATTCTTCCAGTGGGCAGTGGACATTTTGTGCTGGATGTGATGAGAATAGTGTATCGAGTCGAGTTAATGCTGAGCAAAGTATAGGAGAGACCGTGATTGCGTGCTGACTTGGGTCGGTCATCTTGGCGGACACTCATGCCTGTTTAAATACCGTGATTCCATCATTTTGAGATGCGTTCGTGCTAGAAACCTGCTCAGCACGATGCGAGCACGTAAGCGCCGCGACGACATGAACAAAGGCCGGATAGAGCGACGTTGCAAAGCTTTGTGACGGCCCATCTAAAAGGCTGGTGCGGGATAAAGATGGCACGCTTTCTAGTGCAGAGAGTCAAGAAGGGTAAGTTTACAAAGGGTCCCAGACCTCACATGGCCACTGCAAAGATGCTGCTCCCCGACGAGTCAGACAAAAGACTGCATCAACGAGCATTTGCTTGGAAAACCAAGTAATCCAAGGCTCTCAAAGATATAGACTACCCAAGGGAGAAGAGAACATTTCAAAACCAGCCCCATCCTCCGCCATGAAATATGTCATACAGTAACACATAAACAAGGAGTTGAAAAAAGCTACATGGGGGAGTCAAAGGGAATACACACATCTAGCTCAACATTGCAGAGACATGCCATGGCGTGAAAAGAAGGTACAAAATTTGAAAAGATAGCTTGAAACCTTTCAAGTACTGTTCGAGAAGAAGCCGAACAAGACGTGTAAGCAGAAACCGGCGCCTCAGTCCTTCGTACATTGCTTCCAGTATCCTTACCAACAAAGAAACGACGCCGCCACAGCGTGCGGTATCGTAATCGACCTTGTGGCATGTTTTGAAACAGGGCTGTTCGGTCGACTCCTTCCAGGCTTTACAGTTTCATATTTCACATCACACGGATAAATTGACTTGTCATTCCGGAACACCGTTGTTGGGGCCGAGGCCGGAGCTGGCCGCAGAGGCACAAAAGATGTATCTCGATACAAAGGATCGTGATCAAGGTCGAAGCCTAAGGCATCGATCACCTCGACGCCTCAGTCATGTAGGTCAGGTCTTACACAAAGGGGGCATTAGGTACATACACACACTCACAGGTGAGCGGTCAGGTCCCAGATTGAACCCCCGAGGGACCTTTTGAAACCAAGCACAACTATAAGAATCGAATTTGAAGCTACGGGGAAGCCAGTGACTGGCGTCTTGGCCACACTTGCTGTCCACTTCGACCGCTGTTCATGCTTACCATAACAGAGTCAAGATGATAAATATTCTCTCAGTTGCAAAGAGACAGACTCATCATGTTATTTTACTGCTCAGGAAGGTTTACAGCAACAGAAAAGTGTAGGCTTTTAGGTGGAAACTGAAAACCTTCTCAAAGAGGAAAAGCAGACCCAAACGTATGATCCTGGGCGCACCTGTGGTTTAGGCGGCAGTGTCGTTTGTTAGTATGGTTTTCTCGTATGACTTTCAGCCCACCATCAGTCCACTCCAAGACAGTCCACTCTGATGGGAACATTTGGGTTGAAGGCAACCATGCAGGGCAAGCCTGTCACTGTATGCTAATACGGGAGCATTTTTTGGAACAATGGCATAGCGAAGCACCTCCCTATAGGTCGCACCGTCTCTTATTCCTGCCAAAAGGTGTGTCGTCCAAGGACGTTATATCTGTCACGAGATATACAGGGTATTGGCACACATAAAAAGTGGCCTCTGGCTGCTCCCCTTATCGCGTGACAATATATCTACAAGGACTTGGCTCTGGAGCGCGCGAGCGGCGCTTAAGTTGACTACGTGGACTTTTCTGAAGTAGTACCAACAGCAACAAAATCAAATCGACGCATCGAGTAGCTAGCAAATTTCCTTCGGTCTTGTAAACACGAAAAATCCATTTCATATTTGTACAGTGATGAACTGAATTATGAAGACGGGAAGAAATGTAGGCTAGCAAATGCCTTTAGCAGAAGAAAACTTTGTTCACTTTTTCAATTGCTAAATACTTTTTACGAGGGTAATTACAAGAGTCTACAGGTAAACCATCCTAGCTTTATTCCCGTCGGAGCTTGATGTAATTGCTGTGAGTGACTCCCCGTGGGGTATTTGATTGAGCCGGGGGGGGGGGGGGGGGGT